CCCCCGGTGAAAACAGGCTGTGTGTGTGTGTGTGTGTGTGTGTGTGTGTGTATTGCATCTGCGTGCATTTATTTTGCTTCTGTTAATGGGGGAGAGGGGGCAAAGAGCGGCTAACAGTTTGAAACCATTTCCTCCGGTTGATGATGGTGTCCGAGGGTGGTTAGCATGGTCTTTTTATGCAGACCCCCCCAAAAAAAAGAAATCTGAAAAGAGTGCCTTTTTTTCCTTCTTTGAAGGATAGCTAAAGTTTTTGGAAACTAGGAATCTGATTAAATCAAAAGAACATTGGAATCAGTAGCCCCCGGAGTCTTTTTTCACGGACGCCCTGAACACTGAGTGCCCTGAATAACACAAATATAAAAAGAACACAAAGGAGTCCCAGCATCTCCTTTCCAGCATTGGCCATTCCAGTTGCTTCAGAAGAAAATCACAAACCGGGAGCAAAACCAACACCCTCCACTGTTTATACTGCCTCAGTTGGAATTCTGGAGACTAAGGTTCCAGAACTAACACTAGGGAGTCCCCGGGCGTTTGCCGGTTTAAGGAATTGAGGGGGCCAATGCAACACAAGACTCAGAGCCCCCCTCCTGTACAGCCCCAGATTAACCCTGCAGATGGATTCCTGCAACAGGTGGAGGGCGGAGGAGAGAAAGAGACAGAGAAGTTTAGAGGAGACACATTTTTACTGGCCAAGTGGACCAGAGGGAGAACAGGTCTGCTCCCTCTGCTAAGGAGAATGAGACCACGGGCTGAGCTATCTATGGCAAAGATGGAGCTGAGTTAGCCCATGGGTGGGCCAACTGGGCTGAAAACCCCATTGGTCCAAGCCGAGCAATGGAGGCAGGAGATCTGTTAGTTTCTTTGCTTCGCACCTTCAGGAGAATATATACTTCATCTGAACATGGAAGATCCTTGTCTTTTGATAACAAGCATTCTTGCTCTCTCTGTTTCCCTCTCAATGGCCAAACCCTACTCTTGGAACAAGCCCTGGAGTAGAGAGATAGTGCAATCTGACTGTGTCTGTCTGTCTATCTGTCTTTCTTATCAGCTGTTTCACCTCCCATTTTGCAGTAAGCCTTCCTCTCCCTTACTTCCCCACCCATCTGTTCCAAAAACAGGATGACATTTAAATAACAGGGAGAGAAAGAATGTCAAGTCACAGCTATCCATACCCAGCCTGGGCTTCAAGTCTATAGGAACCAGGAAAGAAAGAAAGAAAGAAAGAAAGAAAGAAAGAAAGAAAGAAAGAAAGAAAGAAAGAA